TCTTGCCCAGCCACAGATGTTTGTAAAGTCACAGTCGAACCTGTATCTGACCCGGTCTCTGATGTCTGCATTGTGATCTCTGAATAAAATTAAGAAGTAAAATTAAAAGGTTAGTGCATTAATTATTTTATTTCATCACATTAGCACACTAATTTGTCGCTTATCTCTATTTGGATCTTAAAGTTAGATAATACCAATCTTCTTATTAGCCAAAAGGTTTTTCCCCTACTCACATATGAGTTAGTGTAAACAGGATTTTATATTCAAAATATCTTTTATTCATATGTGCAGAAACATGTATCACTCCTAGTTTTGTCACTTTAGGAATAACTCAGAAAAATCTTCTGTCAGTTTGTAAATAACCAGGCATCTTTCAAATCTGTTTTTTCTCTGGCTTAATGAATCACACTAAAAACTCTATACACTCAAATTCAAAGTTACAACTTCTAGCAGGCAACAGAATGAAGGGCCATAATCTGGAAAGCAGATTCTGTGAAGCATTCAATGAGACACAGTGAAAATAGAACTCAAATAACTTTCTTAAGTAGAATGCATTAATGCAATCACTGTAGTTAAAATCTGAGAAGAATAAACTTTTTGACACTAAAACCATATAGAAACACATATATAGTAGAAAAGTGCCTCCTAAGACTGTAGCCCTGACATTTAAAGGGAACAACGAAAATTTGGAGAGAATATAGAAATAGTTCAAGAATCAAGGAAAATTTATCAGAAAGAGAACCAAGGATGACCTAGAAAGACAACCAAGGATTACTTATGCTTTCATAGGAAACATACACTGGCAACTACAAGATTCCTCAATTTTGCACAGCAGAAATGGCAACACAGTTGACTGGGTGACAAACCAAAATTAATTGGTGAAAATAATAAGCAGATGAGGCAGGTTCTTCTTCACCTGGTACCCTCAAAACAGAAGAATGTATGCTTCTGTGAAGAATTACAGTAAAGAAATACAAATTACTAGTTGTAAACCAAATGTTCTGCAATCTGAAGATTTTACCAGCCTTAATCTCTAGTAATACATACTAGCTACAGAATAGTTTGGCAACCTGGCCAATGTAACTAAAAATGAGTAGCATTATCATGCAAAATAAGAGAAGTTTATAAGAAAAAAATCTATAAATACTTAGAATGTCCTATACAGGTGATTTTTTAGTTTAAGTGAACAGACTCCGATGTCTGACAGAGAAGAAACTAGACTTTAATCTCTACCTTCTCTGATAACAATCTCCCCCCCAAAAAACCCTAAAATATTTTTTGAGAGAAAATCATAATAAAAAATATGACTGTTCAGGGACACACCAATATATAGTAGGTGGAATTCATTACTGTACCAAAAAAGCCTTGGCGTCTCTCTGAAAATTGAGTGTTCTCCTTGCTTGACAACTGACCAGCTGCAACAACAGACCTTCCTTTCAAGGCTGGGTTTAAGTTGATTTAAAGCTGGGTTTCTGCAGATCCTCCCTCCAACTACCTCTGACTCTCTTTGCATTCAAATGTAGTCAATGCAAAGCAGGAAAGAGCTATATAAATTTGGGCTGGGGGCAGGTGATAGGGGCAGAACCTTGCAATCAGGACCACCATTGGTTTAAACTCCATGGAACTATGCCTATGGTACCTGACAGATTTAATTGCTTCTGCTGAAATATTCAGAAAGAGTGATAAATCGTTGATCAAACCTATCTGAGATTAATCAATAGACTCTCAGAGTTGTCATGTTGACTGAACTCTCTACTTCTTTCCAGCATGCCTGACAAAAATCAGAATACAAAATGAAAAGAAGAAAGGAATACAACTTCACCGATTACTACTGAAATGTTAAAAATACTAACAGTGAAAATAGATGTTCACGGGATAAATATGGAGAATAAATCAGAAGCCACTGTACTAGTAGAAAACTATGATCTAGTTGCCATTACTGAAACTTGGTGGGATGAATCCCATGGCTGGAGTGCAGCCATCAATGGCTACAGGCTGTTCAGAAGGGACAGGTGAGGAAGGAGGGGCAGAAACATTGTCCTCTAGGTCAAGAAACTGATAGATTGTGAAGAGCTGTCTCTGAAGAATAGCTGCAAACAGGTTGAAAGCTTACGGCTAAGAATTAGAGACCAAGGCAACAAAGGGAACTTTGTGGCTGGTTTCTACTACAGGCTGCCCACTCAAGGGAGGTCCACTGATGAAGCCTTCTTGCTCCAGCTACAGGAGGCATCGCGCTCGTGGACTCTCATCCTGCTGTGGAACTTCAACCAGCCCAACATCTGCTGGAAAAGTAGCACGGTGAGCTGCAGGCAATTCAGGAGATGCCTGGAATGTATTGAGGGTACCATCTTAAACCAGCTAATAGACAGCCCCACCAGAGGGGATCTGATACT